ACACACACACACACACACATACACCCACACACGCACACATACACACCCACATACACACCCACACACACACACATACATACACACACACACACACATCCTCACAGCTACTTTTACACCTCAGACAGGAAACACTTTTATTTTTAGATCAGTTTCTACATGAAATGTGAACAAACAGAATCAGTGATGTAAACAGGTGGAGCCTCTGCTTTCTACCACACATCCACACACACACACACACACACACAGCAGATATCTGCAGGCCATCCCACAAATACCCAGAATGCCCTGGGGAGGGATCAGGTGTCCTGCATACAGGGGGCAGCTTCTATTACACACGCACACACACACACACACACAGACTCACACACTCTCGGCTATCTGGTGATGTGTCTCCCCCGAGGCTGCAGAAAACTGTGTGTGGGTGTGTGTGTGCGTGTGTGTGTGTGTTCTGCCCTGTGATTGGTTAACCACAGTGTCTAATGTGTGATGTCAGCATTTTCATTCAGTCATTGCTCCTCAGTGTATTTTCTGTCAGACATAAATCAGAATCAGCTTTAAAAATATTAAAAGATGCTGAATTCAATAATCAGAGTATTTCTGTTGCCTACACACGGCTCTGAGCCGGCGACTAGCAGCTAACTGTGCTAACACCGCTAACAGTGCTAAGAGCCGTTAAAGTGCTGACAGGGTTAACCCTACCCCACCATTTCTTTACCTAGACAATAGTTCTTTGAAGAAGACTTGAAACTGGAGATTGAGACCATAAACTCATGTTTACAATGTTTACTGAGGTAATAAATCAAGAGAGAAGTAGAGTCATTTTCTCATAGACGGGAAGTTAAATGGAAATCGAATACCAAGTTAACGCTTCGGTACAACAAGCTAATAACACGCTAACTAAGCTACAGCTAGCTAAGAACATGCTAAAACATACTAACGACAAAGAAACAAGTTGCTTACATGCTAAAAGAAGCCGACTATAAAAAACTATTGAATAACAAGTTAACACCGAGGTACAACAAGCTTGAACATGCTAACAACATATATTTAACAATTAAATGAAGCATCTCAATTCACATCAATTTAAGAAGATAATCAGTCAGAAACGCTTTCATGACATTGAACCAGCTCAAGCAAAGCTAGCTGTTGCTAAGAGCTAATACTGTGTAGCTGACTGTATTTACAGGATCACTGTTTGATTGACTGATCCATGTCCTCAGGATTTATACATAACCCAACGTTTCACCTGGAACAATAAGACAATAACGGATCATGTGTATTGTAGGTTCCTAACCTGGTCTTACTGGCCGTCAGTCCGGAGGAGAAAGAGTCCTGGATCAACGTCCTGAACGCTGCCATCACACGAGCCAAAAACAGAATCCTGGATGAGGTATGGAGTCAGTCACTAACGACACATCTGGTGTTATCATTGTATTATAACATAGTAGTGATATATGGCACCTTTTATACCGGGGGCGTAGATTTACAAAAGAAATGTAAGTTTACCTGTCGACCAACATGTTGGTTCGTTTGTCCACTCGCTGTGTCTTCAGGGTTAATGGATGAAACGCCGTCAAGTTTTTTCTGGAGGTTTGGTTTGGAGGATTTTTTAATTGTCGTTAACAAATCTGCGTGTTGGTCTGTCTCTCAATACTGTCTGACTTCCTGTCTGTGGCCCGTTGGTTCCCCCTGAAGACATAAATGTTTAAAAAAACACAAGTATATAGTTTAATGAGTAATGTCCTAAAACAGCTGCTCACTGTAGTTTTGCATTTGTTGGGAACTATTTTCAGCGGCGGATTAATCTACATGTGCTTTAACAGTTCCTGTAATCTGTTTCCATGGAGTCAGTTTTTTAGCCTGTATTAGTATTTAAATGATCCGTGAGTTTCAGCTCCAGCTGCTGACTCATCACAATAAGAGACTTCCTGTTGTGTCTCTGAACCTTCAGCTCTGGTTGAGATCTACGGTGACGAGTGAGTTATATTTGAGATGTCTTCGTGTGTGATTTTTAGACGGCAGTATTCTCTTTTATTTCAGCGTCCTCAGCGACACGGTAACAGGAAGTGTGTCAGAGCGCTCAAACAGCAGCTGGTCAACGTTTTCCACCAGTCAATAGTCTGATCAATGGTCTGATCAATACACTTTCTCTCTCACACACACAGACACGTGTTCCAGGCTGATGAAAGCCTCTCATGAACCACATTCACCTCACGTAGTTTGTTCACACTGTTTGTATTTAAACTCAAGGCCTGATGAAGATAAAACACACTGAAATGTTTTACATATTGAATTCAGTCTTAGAATTAATGTTAATTCAGACTCTGCTGACGCTCAAAAATACTGTATCATTAAAACGTGTTAGATCTGACTGCAGAGTCTAATGACACATTCTCCTTTTTAACAATAACATTTCAAACTATAGACAATAAATTATGTCTACAGGTGACAGTAGGAGGTGTGTTTGTTGTTTACAGGTGACAGTAGG